AAAGGTTCAATGGAGACAGCTTGCGTCTCACATTGCTTATACCTAACAGGAGTAAGGGTTCCAAACATTTGACAGCCTTTAACACAAAACAGCAATACCGGAAAACATAGCTTGCCTTGGACAGAAACACAACATAGAGTAAGATCAACCTGACCTATTTTCCCCTAAAAAAAACTCAGAGTCAACCAACAAGCTTTGTGAACACTCCCTGACTGAACTAGATCACCATGTCCTTTATCCAGCACCGGAATTTATCCCGGACGAGTCCCCACTTGTTACAACCTGCCTTAAGGCTGGAACAAATAGGGAGGCCACACAGAGTTAAATGCCAAATATCTGTTTATTTAACAAGTTAACGAAAAACACCTCTGATGAATAGTGTACGTAAGAATCAGACTGTCAGTAGTGTCAGCAGTTTGTGGGTGTGTGGAAGGGTGTTGTAGCATGTTGGCGGGTGCATCAAACCTAACACAGGCTGTAGGCTGAGGTTGCTGCAGCATACCAGGATCAGAATCAGAGACTGAACCTTGCAGGCGGTCAACCTTTATACCTTCTTGAGGCTCCGCCTCTAGATAGGCGGGCACAAACAGGACGACACTCCCAGTACGTGCCAGAGGACAGCAAGGCAGGGAGCACAGCCAGGCAGAAGGGGGGAGGGGTCGTCACACATCAAAGACACTGATTTAAACCCCGACCACTATAAGGAAGCACATGTAACATACCTTAATAGGCGCTTTCACACCGGGGTACTTTTCCCGTTTGCGTTCACACCAAAAAGAGAACTTAGTTCATGAGAACTTTTACCCCCTTTTTAGTGCCTGCTAGAGAGGTGGTACTTTCCTGGGGAGAAAAAAGTTCCAATTTCTGATAGGCTGGGCAAATTGCAAACCACACTCCTCTAAAACTCGGAAAAGTTTTTTGAAGCCGCCATTGTATTTGCTGGCATTAGCATTATTAGCATTAGCCCCGCGCACCAACGGATAGAGACTAACTTATGGCAACACAAAAAAAACTGGGTGGCAGTATACGCCGTGAAGTGGTTTGCGGCCTGCCAGTAAACCCAAAGCAGAAGAAGAAGAAGTGACGTCAGCGGCCCATTTGCGTAATCTTCCCTCAGGGAACTTATTCCGGTGTGAATGCGATCGGCTCTTAGTTCCATGGGGGTACTAAGTGCTGGGAACTAAGTACGGTAAAGTACTTGATCTTAGAGACATTTGATTTTCAATGTTAATAAAATAAACCTCAAAAAGAGGCTTGATAGCAGACACTCTGGTAAAAGCAGCATGTGCTCGGTTTTTCTTTTTTATCCTATGTTTTAGGGTGATTGGTTTGCCCAGCGAGGACGACTGGCCCAAGGACAGCCCTATCCGATACTCAGTCAGCTGGGGGCCAAAAGGCTGCAGCAGCAGGCTGCTGCAGAACCTCAGCCCCTACGCCAACGACCTGCTATCTGTGAGAAAATCTGTGTTTCTGTTTCCATGACACGATGCCATGCTTCACATTTAACACCAGCAGTTATAGCCTGCACTTGCAAAGAGAGACTCTATAGACTATACTGTATATATATATATATATATAAAATAAATAGACAAAATAGACATACATTTCTGAGTAATTCTGATGGATAAATCATTGCTGTGCACTCTTAATCATGTTACAATAAAACAATGTCAAATATCTGTGAGATTTTAGTCGGTCAATCTCACAGATATTTGACATGATTAAGAGTGCACAGCAATGATCGCAGCTCTGTGAGGCTGTACTTAAGCACCGTGTAGTCCAAATTTCGGGCGATAAACATATGATATCTATATTGTAGAATGTTGTTTAAAACACTTAGTGATGTTCTGAAAATATTTATTTAATCCTTAAAATACTCTTCTATCCCACTTGACAAATAGCAACTCCAACTTTGGTTGGTGTTTCAGTACAATTACTTGATACTTTATAGCAGGAGGTTGAAAATGCTCAGATTCAGAGTTGTCTGGAACACGGAATTAAAGTTAGATGTTTTCAAAAGCCAGTAAGCATCATCCTTTGAAACCATAAATTTCTGCTTAGTTTCAATCCATCCAACAGTAGCTGAGATATTTCAGTCTGCACCGTGTGGAATGACCGGCGATGCTATCCCTAGAGCCATATTGCTGGCATGGCTAAAAATAGAAAATAGTTGGTAATTATAGCTTCACAGATCTAAAAAGTGTGCATGCTTATCTGTGTTTCATGGCATTATAAATATATGTTTTTGTTGTTGTTAAAAAGCATTACAGCAGCAGCACTGAGACTATAAACCTTCGGATTGTAAGGTGTGACTTCTCCTTACCTGCAGCAATGTTTGGCATTCAGACCGAGCCGCCGCATCTCTGCTGCCAAAGCCCTGACTCATCCTTTCTTCATGAAGCACTGAAGAACTCCTGCTTCTCTACTGTCGGCTTTAACATCAGTTCACCAGCATCATTACGCCTTACTGGTAGAGCATGCAACACTTTTGAAGGATTGCTCCGGGACACTTTTATTTACTTATTATTTGGCCAGCCTTCATATGAACAATGTAAAAGTATTTAGGTTCTTTAAATGTTTTACATTTTAAGTATGCTTTGTAATTCCACAAAACATAGTCCTGCTTTGTTGTTGATGAGTGTTGATGTTTTGTTGCAAATTACCAACTACACTACATATTATGAGCACCCAATGTTAATGGGTTTATGTTGTTTAAACATATAAAGTCATTTGTTTTTTATTTATGGTGTTATCTCTGTAATATTACACCTGTATTTATGTTTGTATTGAAAGGTTTTACGAGATATTTTTCTACATGAGTTACACTGTTCATTAGAAAAGCATTGCTATAAATAATTCTCACCCAAACTTGTCTCTGCCTTTGAATGCAACACCATCAATAACTGTTACATCCGTGTGTATGTCTGCTGTGCAAGTATTACACTTTTGTATATATTCACTTTTGTATTTAAGAGCCACATTAGCAGGTTTAAATGACGTGGATGAACAGAAGGCATATATTCTCTTGCAACTGCAAAGTGTGAACAGATGGGGGCACTGCTGACATAGTATATAATAAAAGGGAAAAAGCAGCAGCATTATGAGTCCTCATAGTCCACAGACCCCAAACCCCCCCCCCCCNNCCCCCCCATTTATAAAACCTATTTAATCTCTAGAAGTATATGGATGTGCAGACAGCTTTGGTTTTACTGTACTTGCTAAGGTTTTTTGAAATATGTGCAAGTGACATACATTGTTGAGTATGGAATTTGCAACATGTGAGCACAAAGTAAAAAAAACAAAGTACAGTTTACTTAAAGGTGGGGTAGGTAATTTTGGAGAAACCAGCTCGAGTGCGCTAGAATATGAAAATACACAGCCGGAAAAAATCTGCCACTTCCTTACAGAGGCCCTCCTCCAACACACACGAACGCCCACATGACCAATGAGGGCACGAGATAAGTTTGTGCACAGATGGAAGGCTGACAGGCAGGTAGGCCATCCAGTTATTTTAGCCGGGCCGGCTTCCACAGATGACATTTTTGTATGGATTTTTTGTCAAAGCACTTAAGATATTTATGCTATCGGGATGTTAAGAGCATTCCATGGAATATAACAAAAAGTGTATCTCGAGCCGGTTTCTCAAACTTACCTACTCCACCTTTAAGTACTTTTTTAAATGAGTTTTACATGAGTATTTGCTACTTTGTACTTCTACCCCACGACAATTCAGAGGTAAATTGTGTACTTTTACTCCACAGCATTTATTTTTTCCCTTTAATTGCTTTACAGATTTTGATAAATGGTGTGAAATATAATCAACACTTTAATCAGACATTATTACAGGAGTAAATTCACAAGCTACCCTACAGTAGGCTACACAAAGGAATGGAAACTAGCTTTACCTTTACCAGCGTCGATAACACTTTAATGCATCAATCATTATAAAACATATCATATTATTCTGAAATGGGCCAATCTGCACAATAAGTATTTTTTGTACTCTAAGTATATGTTGATGCTAATACTTTGTACTTTTACTTGAGTAACATTTTGAATGCAGGCCTTTTACTTTTATCAGTGCAATCATGCTCTTTGGTACAATATATGACTTCTTCCACCTCTGGATGTTGACACAGCAACACAAGTTTAGCTTAATAAGTGTAGGTCTTGGTTGATGTTGTTTTAGGTGTGCAAAGGAACACCTTAACAGTTAATCAAATTCCTCAAAAAAACGTAAGTGAAGTGAACGTGGGGTTTGGGAAGTTATGCTCCTGTAAACCCAAGCTCTTGGAGAGCAGCCTCCGTCGGTTGCCATACTAACGGCTGCTACCTGGTCAGTGGCGGGGACGGGGTCGTCCCATGGTTTGTCCATCTATTTATACCCTAACCCTCTTAATACGGAGCCCTCTACAGCTGCCAGTGTGACTACATTTGGAGCGACAGTCCGGTGGGGAGGGTCCGCCGTCTGAAGGGCAGCGGCACCACTCCTGCGGCGCAGTACATGTAAGTACTGAATTCTTCATTTATGTCTCTAGTTACGAATTTTACAGCCCAAAATGTAACCAGGCGCCAACTACGACCAACTTCTGAACATGTTATCACAAGCCACTCATTTCGATCACTGAACTGTTGTTTGTTTTGTCTGTCTGTTGAAGTTGGGCATTGGTCATGGGAGTGATGGTGTACAGTGACTCCGAGCTTGTGTGTTCACAGTTTTATGGGGTATTGTCTAAAAATGATATGGAGGTGGGGACGATTTGTCAGTAATGCCCGCACATGTTTCACGCGCAATTTACGCACGAGTTACTAAGGAATGTTCAAGAATCTTTAACCTTATGTGTGTGTATCACTGTTTTTTTATTTGTTTCCCTTTTGGTTGGATCCTTTATGTATTTGCAATGTGAATGATTGTAAACAGCCGTAGTTAAATCATTTAAAAGCAGTCTGTTGACAGTCATTCAATATACATTAATCCCTAAAAAGCAGCCAAAACACGTTGGAGGATGTAGGCAACTGTTATGTGCCTGGAAATTAAATTGTGATTTTAATACATTTGGAAATGTTCCCCATCCCTTGTTATTCTCAATCCATTTGAAATATAAGCAGTTTTAAAGGATCAGTGGCTATTTGTTGGAGTATTAAACAAAAAACTGCCACAGATCAGCTGTTAGTGTGCTACAACCCGCTGAGGTAGTGGATCATGGTGATTGCATTAGGCTGTCCTTACTCTGCCCTGGCAGTGGCACATGCTTTTATTGTATTGGCTTAAGGACAATGCATTGCTGTATAAACCTATCCAGAAGCAAACATTTCACTGGCACAACACATGCCATCTGTTAATGGAGAGTCAGTTTAAGTGTGAAAGAAGGGCCTCTCAGAATGTATCCCTGATTTATGGTGCTCCATGGGGAGGTTTCGTCCAGGTAGCCCAGGACAGGTGTAATTGGTCGGAGGCTTATTCTTGGATAGCCTTTTAATCAGGTTTACTCTGCTGCTGCGGGACACGGAGGTCCTTATGCAACATCTGACATGTCTGCCCTTTGAGTTAAACCAGTCTGGTGGCCTGTACAAAATATCCTGAAAAGCCTGTAATAGGGCTGGAACTGACAATTAAACTAAACGATAATACATCTTCCAATTATTTTCTTATTGGTAAATAAAATGTCAGAAAAGAGTGAAACACGTTCAACCCAGCTTCTCAAAGTCCAATGTGATGTCTTTAGATGTCCTATTTTATCATCCACAATTTAGCAGAAAAAATTGCATTTCTCAAAATGTTCATAAAATTAAAGTATTGTTATTGAAATTGCCAATGCTTTTTCTATCAATCGACCAATCAATCAGTCAACTAAATGGCTTCTATAGTCTATAATGTTACACTGTTGTTTGAGTTGAGTGAGTTAGTTCAGAATGGCTCCTGTGTGCTCATCCACCGGCTTTATTTCAGAGCTAGTGTTGTTGGATTAGAAGCCCATGATCCCCCGTTGAGCCTCCATGGCATTCTCCCCTCCAATTGACAATCCTCTAGCTTGTCACATGACGTTTTGCTCTTTAAACAAGCGTGGCCACCAGCAAAAGCATGAAGGGGTGTGGCGTCGGTGGGACTTGGGCAGCTCGTGGCTTTGCTCTCTCTGGATCCTGACAGGGTGGTGAGTTCTCCTGTTCTAGCTTGGTTGACGACAGTGTTTGTTTTAAGGCACTTGCACACGTGTTTAGGAGTTATAACACGGATGCTCATAACGCAAATGTTTGAGCTACTTCTCTCATGTTGGGATCACTGAAACGTACAGTTCAGCTCATTAAAGCTCTCTGTGGCGTCCTCATTTTGGACTGACAATGTCTGCAAATGTGGCCTTCAGTTTATTAAATAGGACATTATATCTATAAAGTTTGGTTGTTTCTGATAGATTAAAGTCAGGCCTGATGAGTGATTATGCAGTCTTTAATCTTATCTCTTTTTAATTCTCTCGAGCAATCTAAGAAAAGCAGAAATCATGATAAAATGAACTTGCATAATTTACTTTGTCAACTTTGCTGCCACCAGAAGCATTCGTCCCTGCTGCAGATCTATCTGCTGTACTAAGTCCGAGGCTCACGTTTTTGTTCTGGCTCCATTGTGCTTCCTTCATCAGGAATGCTGACATCCACAGTTTTGAAAAGCAAAGAGACACAAATGCAAACACTCAATTATGTTTGTACATATTTGTGAGCCGCATAGTCATTCATTTGTGAACATATGATGGTAAGCTGCTGCCTTTAAATGCTAATTGTAGCATATCATTACTATTTATATGTGGCTTACTGCCTTATGCTTTGTTTGTGTTATTTATTCACTTCCAGGCAACCATGACGTAGCCAACAGGGACTTTTTTGGTCACTTCTCTCTGTGCGTGTTGCCAAGTCATGTCATAAGTCAGATTAAATATGTATTTAAACAAATTTTGATCCAATCATTTTCGACAGATAACGCTCTGTATTGACACACAACAGACAAACTGTCTATGTGGCATGTTAGATAACATTTGAACAGGAACACTGACTTGTTGGGCTTGAGTTACATCCAAGGTTGTGGAAAAGACCAGAAAGTGTGCAGTGCCATCAAGGCCAGGACCCAGAGTGGAGCTGAGGTGTTGAGTTTCAGTGCAAGGGGAGATTCCTGCATGGCACTGCAGGCTGGTACAGGTCATCTTACATGGACTGTACAAGAGGAGAGAAGGGGATGCACTCTTACAAAGTCAATGTATAAAGAAGGCTAGGAAGATATCAACAGAATAACCAAGAAAGGGATGTCAATGTGTGGCGTTAGCTTCTGACCGTTTGATCTGTGTTTTTGTTCACTTGTTCCTTTTACAGGAGCAATGTCTCACCCACCAAGGAACAACATTGTCTGCAACCTCTGATTGGTTGGCTCTCAGCAAAGAAAGTCAATAGGTCCAATGGAATCTGAATCGCCATTTCACTGGAGAAAAGTTTGACTCTGTTTTGTTAAAAAGTGGAAAAAAAGCAACCCATCTGTTTTTATATGCTTTTTGAATAACTCGAGGCGAAGAGAGTCAACTGAATCATCCTGAGGGACATGGACACCATGGAGAGCCTAGTCCTGGAGCCCAGATCAGAGCGGATCGCTCGCTACAAAGCAGAGAGGAGGCGAGAACTGGCTGAGCGCTTCGGCAACCTGGAGGAGCTACCTACCAAGTGGGTGAGGAGGGATGGGAAAGAGGTCCACGACCCAGAGACCCACAACCAGAGAGGGACTTTAGACTCAGATGGCCTCAGTGAAAGAGTTAACGGTAGGACGCGCAGGGTTACTAACGGAATAGAGGAGTCCAACCACTTGAAGAGGTGAGTTATTCCTGCACAAATGGATGAGTCGATTGAGTGTGATACCATAGATTTCACCAAGAGCCAATTTAAACCAAATCCAAGAGCGATTTTTCTTGTTAAATACAAATCAAATATCTGAATTCATGTCTGTACTGATACACACATTTTCGGTGCATAAAATATTTATTTTAAAATAAAAAAACATTAAGTTGATCCTTCAGAATCAGGACACGGCTGTAGAAATCTGTAAATGATGATAATGAATAACTGAAAACATTAGATGCAGCACATGTTGGAGTCTGTACAGTTTTCTGGAGCTTGATGTGGAAGGGAGCAGGTGTGAAAGGCTTAATTTGTCGCGACAGCAATAAAGCAACGTGTCTACTTCCTAACCCTATGACACCTCGACATCAGTACAAACTGTAGGTGTTTTACTAAAATAGAACACTGATAGTCAGTAAGTATTTTGGTAACAGTGTGCGGCTTCATTCACTGAGGAAAAGTCTAACCTGATCAGCGACAAAAAAGTACTTTGTGTAGCTGTACAAGATAGATGTGGGACACTTGATCTACCCTGTGTACTTTATGCCAAATATGCAAACAAGTGAACTTTCTTTATCGGAAGCTGATCCACTTAGCTTTGTTTCAGATTCTCACCGAAACTTGGGCTGAATAAGACTTCAAATAGGTCTTACTTTAAGACTCAAAAGAATGAGACTGTTTATTGGGAAGTGTTTTAAATAGTAATGTTTTTATTTAAAATGCTTGTGTTTTGAGCATATGACTGGATAAATGAGATTTGGATTATACTGCAATAGCTGTATGAAAGTTAATGAGCAAGAAGAACAACATTTCCCTCCAAATATTCAGGTTAACATGCGGTTAGCTATTGGTCAACAAATTATCATATTGGGGGTAAAATTATCATTTAGGTAACAGGTACGTGCAAATGTATTTATCAAACATTTCAAATCAAATCAAACTTTTCTTTTTTAGAATGTAACACATTGGAATATGATAAAAATTGGTCCGATACTTACCAGCGACCTTTCAGCAGCTTCAGATCCTTGACTTCACCAGTTGCTCTATGGACTTTGTTTCTAATTAAAACTGAGAGGTCTAAATCTGTGGGTCACAGCTGGGAGTTAAAGAGCCTGTCTGATGCTTCTTTTGTATTTGATTGGTACCCTTCCAGCCTGACACTGGGTACTTTTCCTTTGAACTTGCACTATGGAACAGAGACTGGGAACGTCTTTCGTGTCAGAATGCACAACATTGCACCTTTCTCTGTTGGAGCTGCACATTTTTGTTTGTTTTCTCTTGACAGTAAAGGTTTGGTTGTATTGTTGTTTCTGAGAGCGTTCCCCACACCTGCATCCTCAACTCCTTCCCCCCCTACTCCCGCCCCCTCCAGGCAGGGTTCCCCGGGCTCTGCCAGCATGCTGGGTGGGGAGGGGCACCCCGTCCCTGTTGGACTCGATGCCCCGCAGCTCCACACTTGGGTGTCGGTGGGCCAGTTGAGAAGTTCTCTTCTGCAGCAGACTGGGAACGGAGCGCAGAAAGTGTAGGGTCGCCTGCATGAGTGTGGTCCAGACTGTCACTGTCAGCCTCTGTACCTCTGTGGCCATTTTCACCTCAACATCTTCTTCCTTCCCTCCTCCTGCTCTATTCCCGTGGGTACCAGTTGCCCTGACGCTGGGCGGTCCACTTCCTCTTTGGATCTGGCTGTAAAGCCTGGCTCTGAGGGGGGGCGGCGACGCACCCGGCGTTACCTCCCCAGCGGGTCAGGTGGGGGTCGCAAGACCAGCGAGCGCTTCAGGACACAGCCGATCACAGCCAATGAGATGGAGGAGAGCAGCGGGTAGGGGCTGTGTGCTGTGGTGCTACTGTTTTGGTTTTCACAAAGAAGGTTCTGTTTGCAGTGTTTTGTGCCTTTTACACTGTTAAATTGTATTTTTAGTCTTGTATGTTTTTAACAGAGACATAGTTAAGGATTTACATTTCAGGAGGGAAGGAAGAAGTGTAAAAGGTGGATTTGCAAATGGTTAAGGACTGGGGGGTTTTAGGGTTTAATGGTGGGGATGTTAAGATAATGCCCTAGAGAATTTGAGGGTGGGACCAGTTGGCTATTCTCTCTACTATATAGCGTGACTGTAAGCTGTGTTCTGGGTACAGAACTTATTTTTTCCTCTGAGGATGAAGTTGCTCTGTTCCTGCATTTGAGATTGATTTCACTTGTATATTGACTTTCTTTATTACTTTATTAAATATAACAAAAGACTAACTTTTTCAGTTTCTCTTAAGAATGTTCTCCACATTTTGCTTATCATTTAAAAAAATGGTTTTACCATTTGCCAGTGAAGTGTATGACATCTGGGAACTTTGAATAATATTCAGACAATTGCTGATGGTTTTTGATTTATATCTCCTTCTCACTAATACAAATGCAGTCACACTTGAGGTTTGACAGCTGCTGCACCTTTACACATATGTCCACGGGTGGTGTGGTTTGCATGTGTTTGTCCTCCTTCATGACCTCCAGTGTTGATCTACCGAGCATGCAAATATGACACAGTATCTTGCTTGTTTGAAGCTGCATACTGAAGCACAAAGACATGTATTGTGAGCCTGCAGCTAGATCTGAAATGAAACACATGCATAGGAGCTGGAGTTTTTAAGTCCACATAATTTCCCTGTTTGTTTTTCACCTGTTGAATTCATTCTTTACCTCTTCTCACCCTTCTAGGGGGTTGGACGCAGAGGAAGAGGAGAATTGCAAAGGTGACGCTGTGTTCCCGCCTGGCTTTAATCATACAGTTTGCTATTGTCTTTGCAGACAAACGGCTTTTGTCTGCTAAGCTGGTACACTAGTGGCAATGTGATACAGAGAGGGAGAAGGTCAGAGTATCACAACACTGGTCACCACTGACAACGCAATGATGTGAACATAATGATGGAAGGAGGAAAAAGTTAAGGGGCAACAAAAGAAGACTAGAAAAAGCTATGATTCTCTTCACAAGCTTCTTACAAAGCAAACATTTAGAGCGTGCATCCAACTTGCACAGTTGCTTCCACAAACTAATATAACAGCTCATTAATCGGGTTATATTTTTAGGCTTGCAATATTTTAAACTCCTCTTTGATGACAGATTTACGTCTCACTAAAACGATTTTAGCAGTGGAGCAATGCTATGGCAGTCCCTCGCTTTACCTCACCATAAAACCTTACAAGCACGTTTTACAAAGATTGACCTACTGAGAATTCACAGCATGTCTGCGGAATCAAGCAGGCAATGTAAATCTAGTTTTATATGCTACTGGGATTCATTTCATACGTCTTCTGCCTTGCACGTTGCAGTGGATTGAATCCCCTAATTCAAAAAATGGTACTGTATTGTCCTTTCTTATTTTGTGCAACCTTGATATGAAATTCGAATAGTGACTATTGCTATTTGATAAGTATAGTAGTATAGTAAAAAGTTGTTTGTAGAGTAGAGAAATTGGCAAATTATTTGGTAAAATACCTCACATTTAATAATCTACTAAATTAGTTTCCACCTTTTTTAAGAATCATCACGTGTAAATTATATAATGTAATTTGTGAGGATTTCGATGCCTGTTTGATCACCAGTGCTGCTCATTGCTGACGTATTGCGTCTGAAACGTGTGATGGATGGCAACTGTTAATGACTGAATTATATCTCTTTATTCTCACAGCTGATGTGAAAACAGATGACAGAGCCAAAATGAGTGTGGCAGCCAAGATGTCTTTGTTTAAAGTGAGTCTATATAAGTCTTTACCCTGAAACCAGATCCGTATTGCTGCTTCCTTTTATGTTACGTGTCCTATTGCAACAATCTGCCCGTAGCTATTCACTGCTCCTCAATCAAATGTGCAAGGCGAAGATTCAGCTGAATAATGTAAGCTTTTCTGAAAGTTACTCATGACAATCAAGCATAGACAAACTTGTCTAACCTGAATGGCTTACAGTATGTAACTGTCTACTTAAACTTGTAAAATGCAATATCCTATATTAGATTAAAACTACCATAGCTCAGTTAAAAAGTTGGGGGGAAATGTATAGAACAGCTAAGGGAATGCTACACTTATCATCCTCCGTTGCTCACCTTACAATCTGAGAATCATGATGAGCCAGCGCTGAGCATGCAGAACACAACCTGAACATGCTGATAGATATGAACGGTGAAACAGGTGCGGTCTGATGCTACTGTTTGTAAAGAAAGACTGTGTAGGTGTAATGTAGTGTAATGAAAACACTGTTTTTCTCTACACAGAAGAGCAAACACCTTTTGGATTTTCAGTTGCATTCTCCGTTTCTAGAATTAACCCTTCTTCAACATTGCCTTAGCCATGGAGCTTCAGGTGAAAATGTGCCAGAAACTGTATTACTATTAGCAACCATGGCAGAGGTGTGTATAATTAGCCTGCTAGCCTGTGAAGGCAGGCTGAGGTAACTGAAGCAGGCAGCAGAGCTCTGGTTACACTGCGACCAGCTGAGCTGGCTGGCATTCTATCCATGTAGCCAGCACGCTCCACCTTACAGCGAGCTGCTTTATTCACCAGCTATCTGACCCCCTCCCTCCATCTGTCCATACAAATAGAACAGGAGACATCTGCAGGGGAGAGTTTTCACTGACATGTTTGTGCTCTCATTTATTAGTTATTTAGCAGATGGAGGCTGTGCATTGAAGCTGCTATTTGACCTATATGTTGGGCTCCAGCTGTGTAAAAGGACCACCTGTGATGGTCAGATGTTGTGGGTGATATTAACACGTTTCCTCCTCTTCTGTAGGAGCTGGAGAAATCAGCTGCCCCCGAGGCCTCTGCCTTCCTGAAGCCCCGCTCAGGCAGCGTCTCTCATGAGCGCAGGACGCGCCGTGGCAATGATCATCGCTTCCTTACTCAGCCAATCACCTGTGAGGAAATCGGGGCAATCAGGTGGGGAAGCTTAGTGGTCAGATGGAGATTTTAGCTTCATTTCTAGGAATACAAATACCATTCAGAGGCATATTTCTTGGCCATTTGGTTGGATTAAAAACACTTTGGTGCAACTCAACTCCACTTTATTTATAGCACCTATCATACAATGATGCAACCCAAAGCAACAGGCTACACAGATAACTTTATAGTCAACTTTAGATATCTGTTCCATTGCTGTTTCTAATAGCCAAGCAATTTGGAAATGATCTACGTGTTAACTATTGTCATCAAATCCCATAAAGTACACCAAAACAAAAAATGACAGGATCATATAAACTGTAAAGTACTGAGGAGGACAAGTCACTGTTTCTACAAGTTTGTTTGTTTGTTTGTGTGTGTGTGGCATAAAGGTGGAGAATCAGTCCAGGGAGCATGTTAAATAAGGACACAAATATTTGTTAAATAATATAAGTGTCCAACTATGTTCATAGTTATAAAGGAACATGTCACCAAGTACAACAGTGTGACCCTCTGATGTAGTTTTGGAAGAATTTGAACAATGGATCTTTGCGGCACTTACTGCATGTAATAGATGTATCAGCCATTGGCTGGTCAGGCAATACTTGTTAACAAGATCAGATCACTCTTGGCTTTAGGCTTTATGTTTACTCGTGTTTCCCCACAGCGCCCCCAAACCAGCCCCCCCAGTGGAGCCCCAGTCTGCGCCGGCTGAGGCGGTGGAGGATGCTGATGAGAGCTCCAAGCTGAGCATGAGTGAGAAGCTGGCACTCTTCAACAAACTGTCCCTCACAGGGAAGCAGGAGGGCGGCCCCGCTGACGGGCCCCCAGAGAGACGGAGGCAGAAGGGGGCCAGGTACCGCACACAGCCCATCACTGTGGAGGAGGTCAGCCTGGTGAGTACACAGACCTTCAATGTTCAAAACTAAACAAAACATGAAAATGAAAGAATGTGCTTTTGAAGAAGACAGAGGTGACTTTTAAGCTTCAAAATGTGTAAATAATTAGTGAAAAAGTCTGAAACATGTGTCTTTGTCATCTTATCTATTTACACACATAAGCACAACAACCATTATACAAAGTCCTACTCAATTTCTTGCCCTGATGAAAGTTTTCTAATGTGTATTTAAATTTGAACAATGATCTATACATGTGTCTCACCCTTGTGTCTTGTCTCTTTTCAGCTCCAGAAAGGCCCCATTCAGCTTCCTGCCTTCTCTTTGTCCCCTCATCTGTCCGACAGACAGCAGGACTCGTCTGTCAATCTGAAACCCAGTGAGATACGCCTCTCCCAGCCAAGACCTGACTCCGGTCCCGTGTCTGGAGAGGGTCTGCAGCGGCACGACTCTGAGCCCGTCCTGAGAGGAATCCTGAAGAAGAGCTGCTCCGGAGGCGCCGAGTGGAGCAGGGCGACCTGCCATGAACAGAATGGTGGAGGTTGTGAAGATGCAGGAACACAAGGGAGGATGGAGAGCACAGAGCGGCAGGAAGTGCCTGCAGCCCCACGGAGAGAGAGGCGCCAGGCTCCAGGTGTGGAGGGGGGCTCGCTGCCTGCCGCTCCCTGGAGGCATAGGGCTCGCACCAGAAGGGAAACCATTGCCTGTACACCGATAAGAGCCGTGCCAGAGCAGGACGCTGCGCAGGGGGAGAGGGGGGGCCAGACAGAGCTGCAGGAGCAGCTGCTCTCCTCTGTGGAGCACCGGTCAGATACTACTGGGAGAGTTCAGTGAGTATCTGAATGTGCTGATACATACCTCTTTATAAGAACAAATATTTAATTTTGCAAAAGTTCATCAACTTACTAGCCGATGCAACTTGAGCTATCTTGATATGTTTAAAATGGCTTGCAGGGATTTCTTTAAAATATAAGAAAGTTTCTATTACACGTCTGCACATTGCACATCCTACTTTAAACATTGGTTGTTGACTTAATTTTGTGAAATTATTTCTGTCTTTACATTTTAGCAGAGAAACAAATATGTTACGGTTCAAGCCTGCTCTGTTTGTTGCATCTAAATATAAGAACGGCTTACTTTTACATTTGCATCATAATATATTAAGTGGCAGCTTAAGCCATAGTCCAGAAACCAATTATTTCTGTCTTTTAACTGAACTCATTTACAAAATAACATCATAATACTTTAAGTGGAGACATTGGCTTTTTCACTGTTTTAGTGTTTCAAGTACTGAATTAATAGAAATTAAATTTAAGAGAGGGTAGGCAGGTACAGACATTATTTTTGTAGGGCAAATGTTAAATAAAGGCACATAAGTGTGTGCAAGTGTAATTTTGGAATTATACTTGTTTGTCCTCCACTGTTCTATGTTTTATATTCTGTATATCTGATGTGACCAAAAGGCAGCAGAATGAGGAGAAGAGTGAGAGGAGGATGAATGAAGAAACCCCAGCCGTGGGACATGTTGAGGTCACACTGCTAGATGGCAACAGTAACCTGCAGGAGTCCACCAGCACCAGCAGAAGAAAGGTAAGAAACTCAAATTCTTCACATGGTAAATGTATTGGTCTGCGATGTCTTCAGTATGTAGAATGAGACTCACAATGGATACAAGCACAGCTCCAGAATCAACAGCTGCTGCGCCTGTTGTCTGTTAATGGGAAACTCTTTGCCCCTCAATAATCTCTAATCCTATGGAGCCAGCGGGCTTCAGACTGTCAGCAGTGGGATAACGTTTAATTTCACTTTTCAAAATCCCCTTTTTGGAGTTGCTGATACAAATCCCAATATGTTTAATTACACTGCTATCAAGTATTACCATGCAGTGACAGTATTACAAAACTGCAATCCTACAACTCAATTTTATGCACAGGAATTACATTTACTTCGACTCATTTTGACACAAACATAAATGTTTTTGCAACATCAGTATAGTGCACGTTTGTAGTCCAACATTCACAGTACTTTTTTATTTTAGGTTCCCAGTTTATGTTCTGTCAAATAGGGAAATGATCTCGTCCCACAGTGCTTGTTTCAGATGATATAACCAAACATCAGCTGTCGGCAAACACCTTGTCACTTCAATGGTTGTATAAAACGCATGCTGCTGTCATGCCATGTCATGTTATAGAAAAGCAAAGCTTGTTGGTGAGGGAGATTCGGCCCAGGGCACAGAGCGACACCTGTCAGTAACTGTTTTTTTCATTTTCTTTTGCAGATATACACTTATACAGTAAGAATTTAAGAAAAGTTTGAACCTTGCGCAGGAGAATTAAAAAGCAAAAGTGGCCCCAAAGGATATATCCCGTTGTTGATAATAATAATCATACAACAAAAATTAAAGAATCAAAAGACAAAAATACAGATTGCATAATTCGTCAAAGTTTCAAGACCCTAGCAGTAGGAAACAAATATTTTTTTAAACATCCAATTTAGTTGTAATTAAAAGTCAACATGCATATCAATGAAATTCATGAAGTGATAGATATCTTTGCTAATGAAAGTCCACTCAACGTTCTCTGTTAAATTATCCGTGAAAGGAGCCTCGGGATGTTTGCAGAAAGCGGCATGTAGAGGTTGTTGGGTTCACTCTCCTTGCCACCCTCAAATCCATAATGAGAAGAGGCTGCCGGTTAGATCGGTGTATTTGTCATTCCAATGAAACCAGATATAGCATCTCTTAGCAACAGTGCTATGCATATGGTAGGTGCTAAATGTCTTGAGATCAGACTGAAGTCACTGGGATATCTCTCCAGACTACCAAGTGTTTATGAACTGAGAAGAGTTTGACTGTCTCGGGCATTATGTGGAATGTACACAGACTAAATGTTGACCCTTTTATAACCTTATTATCTCACAATGCTGTGAGCACGTGTGTGTTCATATACTGTATTTTGGTGTTTTAAATGTATTGTTCATTCTGTTATTTTTCTGTTTTAATTGTACTCTTCTAGCAACACTTTAATTTGCTTGTTCTACCCCTCTGTTCCCCCCACACTGCCCTCTGCAGGAAGAGACAGAACACCTTCATGTGGACGGTGTCACCCCTCAGTGCTGGGTGAGTCTTCATCTGATGCTTTTAAGATCCTTCTAAATCTCCATTATGAAGATTATATTCATTACTAATTTGACCATAGCTTTAGCCTGCCCGTCTCTCGTCTAATTCCTCTTCTCTCCCAGGATCCCGTCTTTGCCTCTGTCTTTTCTAGCAGTACCCCCCAATATATCATGTGTTTCAATCAGGTAATTGTTTGAGCCGCTGCATGGCAGATAATTCGACGCCTTTTTTCGGGTTTGCAGTGTTTTGTATGCAGTGAAACGTTTTTGTCTTCACACAGTTTCACACTATGACACTGTGATTTTGACAGATGATGTGTGAAGTTTCACTCATGCTAACGAGATAAACCTGCCACCTGCGGAGTGTTTCTTTAGTTAAATAAATTATCCTTTTTCTGTAATGTAACATCACGGCTCTCACGATGCAGTGTCTGTCACACTTGTGTCATACCCTTTTTTTTTCAACCTGCAACAATATTGGAAAAAAGTTTTGCTAAAGAAGTAACCGAGCTTTGTTTAATATTAAAGTCATGTTTTTCATAACTTCTGCTGCTCAAATAGAGTTTTTACACATAAGCAGTCTCTCCTGCTATGATACTGATATGTTTCTTTGTCTACCATCACATTTTTGACCATGCACGTCTCCAAAGGGGTCTCTCACCGCTTTCCTAAAATTTAAAACTAACCTGTTACCTGCATTCTCTATTTAATTCATCCTCAGACAAATTTGTCTTTTGAGGCACAAGAAGTCTCCTCTCCTACCAAGGATCCGATTCAGCCTCAGCGGAGACGGAAGGTTACACAGGCCAAAGTTTTCTTTGAATCTAAAAGTTTATTTTAATATATAGACAAGCTTAACATCTGTTTTTCATGATGCCCAGGTTAATGGGGTTGAGGATGAGAATGGCGAAGAAGAGGACATGAATACAGAGCAGGAAAGGAAAGAGAAAAATGCCGGATGTTTAGCCCAGAGAGGTGAGTTTATCGAGTTCACTTGCTCTGGTTCGCTCTTTATCTGTGACTCTACCTCAGGAGGATTGTATATCTGACTCCTGCTCTCTGTGCATACTACCTGTTAGGATCTCCAGTATCAGACAGAAATGAAACCTCTAATTACAAAGGACTCTCTGAAGCTCCAACTCGCACATGTTTTGAGACCTTTCCTGTTAGATTTCCCTAAATAGTTTGTTCTATTTCTTCAACAGAAATCTCCCCGCAGCCTTTAACAGAGTTTGAAGGTAAGATAATGTAAACTAAAGTCTTATAAATATATGTTCATAAAGTCATTACAAGCATTTCAAGTAAAGTATTTTGTGTCCTGTGCGCCCGCAGATCCACAGGGCTCTCCGCTCTCGGTGTCTCCACATAAGGTGAGGGAGGAGACGCCTGTGGATGAATCAAACACTGATGGAGGTTCCTACAGAGATCAGTCAGCTCCCTCGGCCTGTGCCCCCCCACCCTGTGGAGACGCTGCTGCCGCAGAGAGTGAGCAGGACCTGGGCGTCCTCTGCCAGACCAACGCACCCATGTGAGCTGGTTTTACTGCAGATTGTAAGATTATTGGCCTTTCTTATCGCTGTAATTTGGAAATCTGACATAGTCAGGGATGTGCTAGAAGGACCCATCTGATTGTAGGTATTTTGTTTTTAAATAATAATCATCTAGACTCTAGAGAATGCTAGGGTCTCTGACAGGTATGCAAATTAGATTGATTTAATTAAAACTTTTTTCTATAATTTAACTTTTGAGCTTTAAAAATCTTGTTGCAAAAAAACTAAAATTATGATGTGTGTCTAAAAGTTTTGATTATTACGTGCCCGCTGCAGTGGCCTAATTTTATGTTGACAATATTACATTTAGAATATTATGCTATTATTTAAAGAAGGAAAAAAATGTTTTATTTTTTTTATTAATGCTCTGTAGAAGTCCTACATAATGATTGCATGTGAATCAAATAGATACTATTTGGTTTCAGGTTTTCTAAAACACCTACAGTAATTGTTTTTACATTGAGTCATGTCTATGTTTTTAAATTCAGCGTTGCTTATTGAATTTCATATTAGTTTTCTATTTGAACTCCCGGCCAATAAACTTATCATCATGATTGGTTTATTTAATATAGATGTAGTTTATGTGCAGAATCCATCTTGGATTTCAACTTCTCTAAGTTCGTTATATATTGAAAAGTATAGCTATTTGCAGGTTACTCCCAACAAGGATAAGACACTTGTGGAGCACACTTAAAAAATAATAATAACTGAGCAGCTTTTTACATTCTGGCTGTGAGAAAGATTATGTCAAAGTTTAATGACACATCAATAACTAATCAATATAATAACTGAATTCTTATATATGTGTGTGGTGTGCAGACTGACATCAGCTGTAGCGGAGCACAGGCGGTCGGTGCGTCCGTCCCGCCGTACGCAGGGCTCCAGAAACCCTCTGAGAGCCCTGGCCGCCCGGGAGGACATCCAGCAGGACTACATGGGGGAGAGAGTGGACTCAGCGTCTGAGGAGAGCAACCAATCAGAGAAGAGTGAGTGGGGATATTACACTCTCTTTAGTCTTTAGGCAAGGCGAGGCAAGTTTATTTATATAGCACCTTTCAACACTAGGCAATTCAAAGTGCTTGAAGACATTAAGCATTAAGAAATAGTGCCGCAGAAACATTATCAAATGGCATTTAACATTTAAAAGCAAAGATAATAAAAACATGAATAACACAGGTACATGAATACAAGTTACAGTGCAGTGTGAGATATGAATCAAAGCAGTGGCAAAAAGAAAAGTCTTCAGCCTGGATTTAAAAGTAGTAAGAGTTGTAGCGGACCTGCAGGTTTCTGGGAGGTTTGTTCCAGATATTTGGAGCATAATAACTGAACGCTGCTTCTCCATGTTTAGTTCTGAATCTGGGGACAGAAAGCTGACGCGTCCGAGAAGACCTGAGAGATCTGGATGATCCTTTTTCATCCAGCTTAAATGTGTGTGTCTTCCCTCCCTGTAGAGTCCAAGAACCCGTCTGTGACAGAATCAAATCTTTCCAGAGCAGAAGACGTCCTCTCTTCCTCAGACACAACCAAGTCTTCTCCTCCCTTCAGCAGCCTCATGCTCATTCACATCAAAGGTCAGAATATAGTTATCTGTATGCACGAGTGTCCCAACGATGACGTGTTTTGTATTCAGGTTTTTATATTAACTTGGGCCTGTGGCGACAGGTAGGCGGCAGGTCCAGGTGCGTCTGGTGGAGCCCTCAGCGCGCTCCCTGAACAGTGGAGACTGCTTCGTGCTGGTCGCCCCACAGCACTGCGTCCTGTGGAGCGGAGAGTTCGCCAATGAACATGAGAAAACCAAGGTACCATCGAACACAATTCAGTTCAATTCAATTCAAGGCTTTATTGTCATGTGCACATTAGCTACAGTGTAGATATGGCAATGAAAAACGTAAGTCACAGGCTCCTCCAACAGTGCAACAAATAAATCAATAAAACATTTCAATATGTTTTTAGAATAGTTCTTAATGTAGTCAACGATTAACTTTTTTCTAAGTGGTTACTCAGTATTGTGAATATATATATATATATATATATATATATATATAGGACATAAAACAGATAAAATGTGTTGAGATGTGAAAGTAAATACAAAGAAAATAGAATAGAACAGTTGTAATGTTATTATTTTCTATGGTGGGGATCAAAACTGTCTCAAATGTAAAGGGTGCCAGGCTATAATGGATGTTCAGGGTATGAGACATGTTGTGCTATAAATACGAATTTGATGAAAACATGTAGAAATGCTCACTTTGAAATACTTATTATCACATGTTCTACAAAAGGTTTTACCTTTTGTAGAACATGTGCCACAAGTGAAATTGAAATGTCAATCACTTTCACACCTTCACTTTCCTGCTGTCATCACATACTGTATTTTGATAGCTGTGACCAACCATGGTGAAACTACAGTTCAGTTTCTGCCTTCACACATATCAAAACGTGTGACTCAATCTAAATACTGGCATTGGCAATACTGCTAAAATGTGTACAGTATCTGATAGGGCACATTATTTAGTGCAGCACCTGTTGCAAAACTCTTTCATACCAGAAATCAAAATGTTAAGAGTATTCTGTTACCAACTAGTTCCATACAGTACGCCTGTTTGGATGCGGTATTAGAACATTTTATTTTTATTTTTCAGGCTTCTGAGCTGGCATCATCCATCCAGAGTCAGAGGGGTCTGGGCTGCCAGGCCTCCCAGGTGGTTCACCTGGAGGAGGGGGTAGACTGTGACGGCAGCCTGGCAAAAGACTTCTGGGGCCTTCTGGGAGGACGGACACAATACAGAGGTTAGAGGTCAATGTGTCTGCGTAGATCATTTATCCTTAGATGGTTTTACATGTTATGTTTATCATTTATTAAGTCGGAATAGAAAATTAAAATACCTGCTTTTTTTCTTGAGACATTTACCTAGCTTATCAACTATTTAAAGACAACAAAATAGAAAATAGGATTTTAACATCATTTTGTGGAAAAGTAAAAGTACGAATGCCACATTATGAAAATACTCAACTACAAATCAAAGTGTACTTGTATCAAAACATATTTTGAAATAGCTAATTATTGGAATATTACTGTATACATACTAATGCATTTATGTAAGCAGCTTATACGAATGTTCAAGGTAGAGCTTCTTCTTATAATATGCTGTGGTGGTGTTTAATTTATAACACATTACATGTTTACCTTTTCTTATTTTTTCCCTAATATGTTAACAGTAAATGTAGTTATCAGAATCTGACATGCTTTGGAGTAGAATAACTGAACTGCAAAATAGGATTGTTTAAAAAGTAAAATACATGCCACCACTGATCTGTGTAGATGTGGACTGAGCATTCTGTATGTTCTTGTGTTTGCGTAGGAGCCAGTGCAGAGGAGGAGGATGAGCTCTATGAGCGTGGGGTGGTGGAGTCGAACTGTGTGTACCGGCTGGTGGAGAACAGGCTGGTGCCTCATGAGCAGGCCTGGGCCTCCATCCCCAGTGTCTCCCTGCTGGGCTCCACTGAGGTCTGAACTCTCTAAATAAGTTGTCCATTGCGTGCTTGTTCTAAAAAAGTCAGACAGTTAGTTTAAACATCTGATCATGTCTCAGATTAAATGTATGCCCATTCTGTCATCCTTTTTTCTCCAGGCCCTGGTGTTTGATTTCGGCAGTGAGGTGTACCTGTGGCATGGCCAGGATGTCTCCCTCAGTAGGAGGAACGTTGCCTTCCAGCTGAGTCACCAGGTGTGGGTCGGTCCTTACGACTACAGCAACTGTGGAGTGAATCCGCTGGATCCCACGCAGTGTAACCCCAACACACCGCTGTAAGTTCACACCGCAGGCGTAAAGCTTTTAGACCCTACCTTACAAATGAAAATCATCATCATATCAATGTTGGGACACATAACAGAAACAGAAGAGTACAGCTGTAAGTGTGACCTAGTTTGAACATTGCTGTGCACCCAAACAAGTGTGGATGTAATTCCACACTGGACACAGTAAGCACAAGACATTAAGTTTACTGTGCATGCAGCAGCACAGTAATATGCAGTAAAAGTCTTTAGTGCATGCTATAAAGCCAAAGCAAATGGCATTTCATTCCAAACTGAAACTGCAGGATACAGCATTGTGTCCACATGACATGCTGTTTTATGAATACACTGACAGGCTGCAGCTGGCACAAGACAGTGGAAAGTCAGAAATTCACAAAAGTAGCAGGACACCTGTTGAACATGTAATTCAAAACTAATGGGCTTTAATGCTGCTATAATAGCCATTTATCTTTTATGATTATTTTTGGTACAAAGTTGGAGGCACGCTAATGTCTAAAACTTGAAAAAAGTGGGGAAAAAAGTGCTTTATTTTTGATATGCACAACAATTACAGAAAGGATTTGTTGATAAAAAAAAAAGTCTGCTAATGTATGAAAAATAAATGTCACAAGTAAAAATAAAAAGTGAGACTTATACAATAAGGACACTGCAAAGCCAAATAATTTACCACAATGTGCAAAAATCTCATTTAAAAGTTACATGATTGCAAAGCGGTCATTAATTAGGGTTGGATTCGGTGTAAAATTAATTTGTTTTTAATGACTCTGTCCTCAGGAGGGGAGAGGGGCGTCCCAGCTGGGCGTTGTTCGGTTGTGTCTCAGAGCACAGCGAGACTGCTCTGTTCAGGGAGAAGTTCCTGGACTGGACAGTCAGGAGTGGAGGCACGGAGGAAGCTGCTGCCGTGAGCCACAACACACAGGTCTGTCTGATAGAATGAGTGTACACACACACAATCATTTAAGATCATCAGATTTCCCATTTTTCTCAGACGATTTAATCTTGACCTCTAATTTTCATTAATATTTTTTCCATTCCATATATTTCACTTTCAAGATTCTGGGTTTAGTTAATCATTGCAATCAATCAATCATCATCATTATCTTTTTTCCAAATATAATTGTTGCTTTTATTTAAGCTTTAAAGGTATTCTGATTCTGATTCAACTTCTATCCGTCCACAGCCTGTCCCAGTTCAGTCTTCCGAGTTAATGCCCCCATCCTCAGACGTCTTAAGTGCCTGTGATGCCAAAGCCTTAGTGTCCGGTCAGTTACTAGAAGGGGATGGCTTGGTCCATAACGTGTTGGCTGGGGTTGACGTCCAGAGGGGGCACGGGGTCATCATGCTGGAGGAAGGAAGTCAGATGGAGCTGAAGACAGTTGCTGTGGACACGTGGCACGTCCAGGAGTTTGATGACAGCGAAGTTCCCGTGGAGAGTACCGGGCAGCTTCACGAAGGAGACTCATACGTCATCCGTTGGACGTACAGTATCAACACTGTCGGTCAGAGACATTTATCGCGTCACCCTCACATTCCTTACTGTGGCTTATCCTGTCCTTTTAGTCAGTGTTATTTGATTTAGACAAAAACATTAGCTATAAAAATACCTCAAATAGAAATGTAAATATGTTATCCTCTGCTGTAGATAAGATGAACAGCGCTGATGTGTTTAGTGGAGGTCACGAACAAAAAGAAAACACCGCCTTCTTCCTGTGGCGGGGCCGTCACTCCAGTGTCAGCGGACGGGACACCGCTGCTTTCCTGTCCATTGGGACGAACAACCAAGGGGAGTCACAGGTGAGGCCTTCAGAATACCGTTTGTTGGAAATAAAACCACACCCTAAAGTAATTACTCTGTAAGAATGTTTACTGAAGGAGCATATTGAAGGACACCTTTGGTATGAGGGTTTACTTTAATTTAAAAACATTTTTTGAATTGGAGGGATGAAACCCTCTTGAATGGTCACACATGCAGAGCACACAGCACACACAGTGAAATTTGTTCTCTGCTTTTAACCCATCCTAGTACCAGGAGGCTAGTACTAGGAGCAGTGGGCAGCTATTGCACAGCGCCCGGGGAGCAATGGGAGTGAAGGGGGATGTCCATTGCCTTGCTCAAGGGCACCACGGCAGGGCCCTGGAGGTGAACTGGGACTTCTCCAAGTGCCAGTCCACACTCCATACTTTAAGTCTGCTTGGGGACTTGAACCGGTGACCCTACGGCTCACAGTCCAAGCCCCTACTGACTGAGCTACTGCTTGATCGAAATATACTTTACTGATTGCTGGCCCCGTCAAAATCAAAACATAGGTTGTTGATATCTCCACACCTGGAACGGCGACAGTCTAAATTTTGTCGGGGGCGGTTCTCGTGAGAAGAGATTTCACGGTGGGATAGTAACCCGATAAAACTTCCCGACATATAATGACCAGGTCTATATAATGGTTTATATATTTTTGTACAGTACTACACAAACCGAGTTTATGTCTGGCTACCGTAAAATCTGTTAAGGACAATAAGGTCGGGAACACTCTCGCGTCTAAGACCCTGGAATCTAACTTGTTTCTTTTTTTCTCCTCGCCTCGATTACGGCTAGTCTTAGATGCTCTATTCTCAATAAAGACAATAGGTTTCCACTCAAGGAAAAAAATTTAAGCGAGCGAAGATTTGTGTACCCCCAACCACGGAGAATGGTCATGTCCAATCGGAGCTCACAATTCGTTCCGAACGATTCATTTTGTCTTCTGATCTAATGCTAGGTTTTGGCAGTCGGGGACAAAGACTATCGTTGAAGACGACCCGGCGGGTAGGTTTTAAATGCAGTATAGCCGTCGTTTAGGACATAGGCGAGCAACATTGTGGCGAAAAAATTTCTAAAATCATACCTCCTTTTCTCTTCTCCAAAAAAAGCGACTGCGACGGCACTCAAGGTGGGCTGTGTGGCCCCTGTCCCCTGTTTATAAATACAATTTTCTGGTCAGTTTTCTCGTAAAACGTACTCATCCAGGGGAAGGATTCCACAAGAGAATTTTTGTTTCAGGTGAAGGAACAAAAACTGCGAAAACACAATGGAGTTTTTTTTGTTTATATCGTTACAGTCTATATGGTATTAATACGTATGTTGAACCGGTATTTTTGGTTTTGGTACTAACATTCCGCATACTGATGATTACGTATAAAATGATGGTAAATGTGAAGTAACAAGGACAGAGGCGTTCTCGAACTAAGTACAAACATAGTCTCGCGGAACTCCCGACTGAGACTATTTTTCTTTTGTCTAAGAAGACCAAAAAAAGTTCGTTGTTCGTTAGACATCACATAAAAAAAATTGTCTTATTTATGTGTGTTGTCTGTATGTCTCCACCCCGGGACCTTCCGTAGGGGTACTGTTATTAACGGAGTGAACTCAAAGGGTGCTTATGACATCGAATATTATTATCCTATTTTCCGGAAACAGGTATTCAACAGGTACAGTCCTTGCATCGTAAAGAACGGTCAGAAGCAGAAATAATTGCACCGGTATCTGTTCTAGTTAGTGTACTTACCTAAAGTTTAGTTGACAGGGATTTGACTATTCGACAGACTATTTTGACTTTACTTCGTAGTAATAAAATCCCAGGGTTTATACAGTGTGAGACTCATTAATTTTTTCACTTCTTTCGGGAAATAAGTAGTGGAAGTTAGTGAGGAACAGTTTCTTCTGACTTAAGGGACGTTACGTCACTAGTAATGACAGCGAAAAAGTCTGTTTCGTCTTCACACAAAGAACCCGACACG